CCAAATACGACCTTCCCTCCCACTGGGGATTTCCCAGCGTACGACTGTCTCAGTTCAGTCGAAAAGTGGGAAGGTTCGAGTTGTCGCTCGGCAAATGTTCATCGAGGAGTGGGGGCCCCGCGTGGGGACTCATATCAGTTCGAAGCAATGGCCACTAATAGCGGCAGCGCCATCCATTACCAGAATCGCAGGTTTCTCAGGTACTATCGGGTGCAGCGAGACAAACCGATTCAAACCCTATAAGGTTCTCTAGAAAATAGGAACAGTGCGGTAGCAGAAGGACGGAAAATTCCATTCGGCTTTTTCTAGTGATTTTTCGAACAATCAGGGCGAGTACTGTACATGTTTGAAACACCTTGGTGAAATAGTCATGGGCGCGGCCCTAGTCAAGTGGAGCGAATGTATTGTTAGATTCAATGGGGAAAATTCTGATTCATTACTGGTATTGTTTGTCAAATGCATGATGTTTCTTTCCTTTGAACTTTTGTGTTATTCGTTTCTCTCAGTTTCATGTCATATCTACTTTATGGCCTCAACTTGTGCGCATCTTCGTTTTACAGTTTTCTATGAGCGATCGTTATCGTTAGGTCTCGTCGTACTGAAACGAGTCTGTTGGGCAAAACTAGAGAGTGTTTAATCATTATGTCGTTTTTTCTGCGGTCTGCTAAACTTCGTAACACACGGATGGCATTGCACTAGTGTTTTGGCACTCCACAGTACAGTAAATACTGTTTACTGCCTTGGTGTGTGTGAGGTGGGCGCGCGTCTTCGTTCGTTCTCGTGGTGGTCGTCGTCGAAGAACCCCCGCTGATACGTGTGCTGCATGTTTTCGCCATCACTGATCGTCTGCGGCTACATCAAACATCATTCGTTTGATTTTCAAGCTATTTCAGCTGATCATCATGCCTTGTCAATTCACTTATACAACTGGTAAGTGAAGAAGTTATTGAGCGATGCTGTGATTTTTGTACGTTACTGAACACATTCTCGCTATGAGTAGTGAATTGCCATGAGAATCTTTTCATAAGTCCTGTATTTAAGTAAACAAAAGTCGCGTTCGTGCAAATAACTCTTGCCGATCGAGTCGAAGGTTGTGCTCGTCTGCACGGTCACGGGTGTGCATCACGGTTTTCGCCGTATTACTCGTTTCCTGTCTAAAGGAGACATGACCACTTTCGCCCATCATGTGCAGGATTTAGCTCTCTATCTTCTGCAGGGACTGTTCTCTACAGGAATTCTGCTGTACAGTCTTTTATCACTTGTCGTACCATTTACTACTATCTCGTTGACCAATCCCCTTCACTTTAGTGGTCAATTTCCGGGAGAATCTTCTGTTGCGATAAACTACGGGGGGTGCTCAATGAGATCTCGGTATAGGTATGAAGGGAAAGGCAAATATTTCTGAATAAAATTATTTTTCAATGTAGTTCCCCATAACCTCAATACACTTGTTTGCTCGGGAAACTAACTTTTCAATACCCTCTAAAAATATTTTTCCTCCTTGTCCCCAAAATGTGCGTTGATTGTCACCTTCAGTACCGTCGGAAAACCGCTTTCTAGGGAAGATCTTTTTTGTAGGTTGGGGAACAAAAAGTAGTCATTAATCATCATTGCCCCATTTATCTTTCTCATTTTTCTTCAATTTTTTGAATCAGTAATATTTTTCAAGAGCAGTCATTTGGTTTTTCTCTTTTCAATCAAGGACATACTAGATAGCATTGATATACTGCAGATAGTATAATTCAGCTAGCTTGATTAAGACTAAATGAGAAACTTTTGTATTTATATCCTCAGGGATGTCTTGCCTATTGAGATGATTTGAATTTTTTTGTCATTGTTTGAATTCCCGCCCGATGAACGAGATCTGTTAAACGGGCTGTGTATTATCCTGGTTTGTGACTCACGTGATAAAAAGACGATGGCTCTAGTTGTCTGTGGTGGGGCACCAAATGGTGTGGCCACTGAGGTGTAAAGACCTGTTTGAAGCTTGTACAGAGTGGCTCACAATACATCTCGCGGCTTCCAAGAGCTTCACTATGTCTCACGCAGTGTAGCCTATTAAAGAAATTAAAAACAGCCAGAACAGGAAGTTTATTGAGAAACAAAATCTCTCCTAAGCCGCACAGCGTAAATGGAGCGCAACGGAATCTCTTTTTTCTCGGCACAAGTAATTCTGAGTTATGGTGGGCATAGTGTCGATTCGTAGGGCCCAAAATGACTTTTCTTCGTTGTTTATGCTACATATGATGCTAACCGCTGCCGCACCAGAGAAGTCTATTTAGTAATCCTCTCTGTACTTGGATAAGAGAAGTTCTTGTTCGTTGGCAGGGTTTCGGGCCACAGGCCTTTCTTCAAAGTTTCTTTCTGCATGTGAACAAGCTTTCCACCAGCTGTCCTTCAACTTTTATTATCTTAAGTGTGAAACTGTTGTTTAACACATTGTGGACCGCGTGACATACACGCGCTGTCACAAATATTTTTCTCTCTGCGGCGATTCTCAGGAATTTATTGGTCTTTTTAATGGCCTGAAATTGTCAGAACACGTTTTCGGACACGGAAGACTCATGTCTTGCATGGAATTAAGAAGACTGATAATTTTTCAAATATCAAAGCGAAAAGTGATGAATTAATGTGGAGGTTGGGGCAGTTCGACGGTTCACAGTCCGCAGCTCCGCTTCTTGGGAACAGCTGTTTTTATTTGGATACTACCACATTTGAGAGGACATCAGATCTTTTAGTACTGGGAAGCATAAGAAGTTTGATTTATTGCCGCAATTCGGCTTGGTAGGGGTTCCAAACGGTACTCACCTCACTGAAGCTGTCGAGGCCAGTTCGTGAGGAACTGAGAATTTTTGTAACCATCTTGTCTCACTTTCAACATTTTGCAGCTTATGCAGGTCTCACCAAACCAGTTAATGTGAACTAGCAAACGGAACTGGCGGAAGCGGAAGTGCAAAATGCCCCTCCCAAACTGAACAGCGCCGATTTATGTTCTGTAGTTCCGTTACCTTTTTCCTTCTTTTTGATTTATTCGAGAAGTGGGCGTTGCAACTGATAGCACTTACTGAAACTGCATTTTCAATTTATATGAGAGTTGCGCGACGTGTCCATGGACCTATCATTCCCGTAAATGTTGGAAATTTAATTTTTCATAATAAACGATCGACTGTCCATAAACCTTGACATCGTGTGTGGTCTTCTCTTCAATGAGATACTCTGGCCACACCCAGGGTTCATAAATATTTTGTGTTATTTCTGGGACGTCTGTCCCTTATTTTGTTTTCTATTACTTGTCTTATTTTTTTTCATTCGTTTCCTTGTGCTACGAAGGTAAATATTTGAAATAGAAGATTTGAGCGCTAGATATGATTTGCCTACGCTCTTAGATAAAGAAAACTCATGTCATTATGTAATCACATTTTTCACTGGTCCTGTTCTGCCCTCCCCGATTTATTAGCATTTATTTCCTTATTTTTCCATTTTGTGGGTTGTTTGGTGGTAAAAAAGAGAATGGGATTGGATTGTTTATTAAAAATGCGAAAAAATTGGAAACTCAATGCGCTGATCAAGAGATGAAGCTTCGGCATTGTTCTTCTTGAGATGCGCCTTGTCTCAGGCCTTCCAATGGCGTTATGGTGTTTTTTTTGTTCTTTCGTGCAACCGTGGCGCATCCTTGAGTTCAAGTGTTTCCAGATAATCTCCTGGGTGGTTTGCGAAAAAAAACTCCACGGGTTGTACCAGTAATGTGGATACAATCGGTTCATTCACCACCAAGCTCCACCCCTTCTTGGGCTTAGCCAAAGTCCTCATCCTAAAAGCCTTCAATCATTTCTTCACCCCTTCTGCTCGGCTTTTCCTACGAATAAAGAGCATGTTTGCCGTTGTTTCAAATGTCTCTGGTGTTCTGCACCAAAGGCCCACTTGGAATACCGCCAAAGATCATTATTGGTTCACAGGGAAGCGCATGTGCTGAAAATTAATTAAATAACTACCAGCAACCTAAACTGGTTTCTTTGTTTCATTTCTCGTTTTTGAATGTCTCCACAATGTCGCCGTGTCTCGCAGCGAGCCTTCCTGCTTATTTGTTTGTGAAAAAGTTGCTTTAATCTGTTTTTTATCTTCACCTACTGAAGGTTAGAAACAAACGAGGCCATTCTGTTCTACTGTAACCTTTCATAGATGGTTTCCGTCCCAAGTCTTGTTCAAGACTGTGAGGCCTGTTATTTTCTTGACCCTGCACTCCAGTTCCGAAATAGCGTCGTCATCACTTCCAGACGCAGTATTTCAAGTATTTCAAGGTTCATTGCAGTAATAGAATTGTAAATGTTCTGTGAGCAACTTTTTAGGCTGCCCAGAAAGTCCATGCTGAAATATTTCTTTGAAACCCTGTGAAATTAGACCTGAGTCTTTTTCATGGTTCATTTG